ATAATTTTTTTTTTTTTTTTTTTTTTTTCATTCGTAGCCAACTGGAAGCTACCGTGCTTCTTGATTATTGAATCAGTTATTGCATAAAAATTTCTTGGACCGAAACATTCCTTTCCAGTTTTAATTTTTTTTTTTTTTTTCTAAGATGAACTCACAACAAAGCAGTTTCATGTGCTGCGCCATCCGAGAACGGAACGTGCTGCAATTTATGCAATTGGAAAGAAGACAATCGAGGAATTACTGAAATTTGATGACAGTTCAAGGTATGAATTTTCGAGTTTTCAGAACCCCAATCCAGGCACTGGGAACTCAAGGGGTTAGACAGTTTCAAGGCACGGCAAGGTACAGACCTCGGCTACTACAAGCTTGTCGAGAAACTTCAAATTTGATGAGAAGACACCATGTTGCGTTCTGCAACCAAGCTTGGGCTTTCACGGACCAACTTCATCCTGAACAACGGTTGACGGTGCATAGAAATTACTACTGTACGCAAAATGCAAATATATGCTATACGATCAAGCACTGGAAACGATTGGAGTGAAAAAAACTAAAGATAGGTCCCAATGCCCTGCGTGCCGCCGTTCGGCCTGGTCTACGATGGTGGATTAGTGATTGATTTGGCCTGCCTGAGAAAACGAATCTCGATCTTCCGGCAATTTTTGGCAATTTGGCAATTTTGGCAAATTTTTAGCAAGATTTTTTTGCAGCCAAAGTATTAGAGGTGCTTTTGGTTATATCAGTCAGTCGAGTTCTGAGTTTTTGGTAGATTTTTGCTCTGACGATTGGGACCACTGGCGAATATCGCATTTGAAGTTGTGAGACGAAATGTTTTAAGGTCGATGTTACATGGCCAAAATGTAGCCGGCAATGGTTCGTTGGCGATATTGGTACCAGTAAATCCGTTGCTGCTGATATTGCCCTACCTAAAGAAATATGCAAAGGTTTTTTGGCTATTCTGCTCATTGGTTGAGAAAGAACATTTATCCTGGTTCTGTAATATACTGCCTTCTACAGTCGAGCTGACACGTCTCTGACTTGGCGGCCGTTGCTGGACGTTCCGTGCTTCTGCCTTTTTGATCTAGCTTATGTGACGTGGTAAGGATTCAATATGTTCTGCTTGCACTGTTCCTGGAGGAGAGACAGGCAGCGATGGTTATTTAACGTAAGGATCATTGGTGATTGCCAAAATGCCTTTTAGGGAGTGAAATATAGTAAAGTTCTTTTGATTTTTTTTTTTTTAATTTTTTGCAGGATGATTACATGCCGTTGAGAAGCATACTGCTTGATGATGAGTTCCCGGCAGTGAAATTGCTTGAGAAAATGGATACTGTTATCTCCAGGTTGAAGCACATATGTTATTGTCATGGTAAGCATGTATGATTTGTTCAGTGAAAGTTTGATATTGTTGAAAATGATCGGAATTTTTTATGGCGTCAAGCAAGCGTTTCAAGTTTTCAGCATTTTTATTATATGTTGTTTTTTAGTGGTCCAAGCATTTTATTCATTCCGCAAACAACTTGGTGTAGTTCAACAAAAAAAAAAAATTACTGAATAAGTGTACTGTGGTTCAGTTTGTTCGAATTGAAACGGTTTTTGTCCTTGTCGATTCCGAAAATTCGGCCGGATTCATGAAGCGAAGAGTTTCGTCAAATTTGTCTTTTTTATAGTAACTTTTGCAAGTTGTCATTTATCTTGTCTGAAAATTTTAGCACTGTTTATTGCAGAAATATCGGGTGTAAAAGTGTTCAGATATGATGAGCAATTGCTACTGAGCTATCTGACAAGAAAATTGAAGTGTTTGGAAAAAACAGCCGGTTAGTGGAGATTTCTTCTTCCTCTTCTTGGCCGTTAAAACTTTCCTCCATTGTCTGAGGAAACAGATCAAAGCAACCCCTGTATTTATCTTCACTTAATATGTTGCACATACTGGAAGAGAAGAAGGCGGAATGTTGCTGACCCTTGAGACCAGTAGCGTGGGCGACGCTTACCTCAAACACAAGTATTTCCGAGACTGGTGGTTCCCGGATAGGAGGCTGTACTGTTGATTCCCGCTCCTGCCCGAACGCTTAATTCGGTCTGTGTTTACAGCTAAGGGATGAAACACAGGCTGCATCGTAAAATATCTTCTTATACATAACACCTAAGTCCAATCCTTTTATTCTACGATCCGTTATGGAAACCGGAGCTTCTTGCCTGTACTTCATGGTTAACATGCCTGAAACTGTTGCTTTCGGCTGTTGGTCTCTGCTTGATACCATGTTTTTAGTAAACCATTCAACATAGATTTATTCCAGGACCTGAATTCGGTGAAGCCATTTATGCAATTCTGGAAGATAACGTTTCCGCAGACATACTGGACTTGCTGGAGCAAAAGGAGGATGTACCACCAAGCGGTTTCAGAAAGCGGGCGTGCAAGTTTTTCAACAAAGAAATAGCTGTGCCTGCGCTAAAGTCTGAGCAACCACCGGTATTTTTCATCATTTTCCTCTGAAAAATAAGTGGTGACGTTTATTTTGCGCAGAATCAGTTATGATTACTGGAAAAAAGGACGTGTTTGGCTTACAGAGAGCAGTAGGGGATTTCCCAAGAATTGAAATGTTTGGGTTCAGTTTTGATTATCGACCATTTTGCAGAAATCAGAATTTCTGTACCAACTTCTTTCTGTGAAATTGTTTGGAAAAGTTGAATTTTTCTAGCCGCTGCTAACAAAAACAACTTTGAATTTATGTCATTTTGTTTCTTTTTTTTCAGAGCTCCCCTGAAGAAGCAGCCGAAGTGAAACGCATTCGCTTGGAAAGTGAAATTAATTGATAATTAATGGTTACAGAGCTGATGCTTTACTGTTAAAATCACGTTGCTTCTATGTGGCACGCAAGGGATATCAATCTTGCCATGTAAGAGAAAAATCACAGACTTCGCAGACTTTCATCCCTAATTCGTATGCTCTGTCACATGCTTTTGATGTTAGACCTGTACACTTCTATGATTTAGTCATTTTCTGTAGAGCTGAGATCAGTAGTCATTTTTTAAACAACCAAAAAACTGCTTTTCGCTCAGATGTGGTAGGTATTTTGCCCATAGCTTTTTCGTGTCTTAAATGTTTGTAATGTATTACTTAAGCCCCAAGATGCCGAAATGGTAGAATGGAAGGATTGGTCTTAAGTGTCATGTGAAAATTTTATTTGCCGAATTGCGCTGGAACGGGCTGGGATCAGCAAATCTATTAGAAATTGCTGAAAATTTTATTCATAAGGTTAAAAGTAGACTGGCTGAACAATTTAAAAGTGAACAGGTTGGTTAAGCTTTCAAGTGAAGAAAAAATGTGCCATCATTGATATGCTCTTTGCTGCTGCTGTTGTTACTGCTACTTGAGAAATGATTTCGATACCTTTCTCCAAGATTGAGCTGCGACTTGCCTGATTGTTAACTCTTGTATTTTCAAGCGGTAAGAGTAGTAAAAACAGCAATTTTTACTACTGTTACCGCTTGAAGTCGCGTATGTGTATGGCTACATACACGTGAACGGATGAGAGCGCTTGACGCGACCACAAGATGATGACCGGTTCCGGGAGCCTTGGACTGATTGACCAATTGAGTGACGAGGCAACGACCGCAAATGCAGGGAAATTCGGACTGAGTGAACGATAAGGTACGTACGACTGGAAACGAATGAACGGTTAAGCACCTTCCTATTAACGGCAAATTTAGGTTATTAAATCCACTGAGAAGTTGGTATAATATTCCCCTTACAGTCACATCATAACAGAACAATATACAAAACATACGTAACAACAGCTGTAAGCAAACAATAACATATGACACTCCTACAGTCCACTTACAATCCGCGGTCACTACACACTATTTTATCCTACAACTTATGTAAATGCAGCTGTTTTAGGATCGAGCTGCATTTGAAATAGAGTCTGATTCTGTTTACACAGGAACAAGCCGAACGCCGGGTCGAGGACTACAGGGATTTGTTAGGCTTCTTGTTGATTTCGATCCGCTATGTCTGAAGACCGAACCATGCGTCCACTTGGGTAGCCCGAATTGAATTGAATAATCCAAACCCAGAACCGTGACTTGAATAATCCGACTCCAACGGTGAATTGAATAATCCCCACTTGAAACGTCGAAAACCGTCGACAAGAAAATCTCCCGAAAGGGGGAAAGGGAGTTTATTTAGGGAAGCCGATTCTTCCCCAAGAGGAGGCACCTTGCCCTGTTTACCCCTTCAGTATCCAGCTGTACAAGCTGGATACAAAAGAGTTATTAATTATGTCTCTAAGAAATGTCAATATCGGCTATTGTATTTACGCTGAATTTTGCGGAGTGTAGGGATGGGATACGGCAAGTTGGAAAAAAAAAATGTTTAAAGAGAAAAAAAAGGAAATTTGAACAATATTTTGTTTTTTAGAAATTCAAATGATATTTGCACTTTACGAGGTGGTTTCACGGAAGCGAGTCAAGCGCTTTCGTGACCAGTTGTGCATGACCCTCGGTGGATCATGCCGTTCAAGTGTGGTCGGCCAGCTCTACCTGTTCGTCCGATCATGCATAATGATTAATGGTTTTTGTTAAAAGTAGGTTAAAGAAAAACTGCGTTACTATGACGCAATACCCTTGTCCCTGGTTCAAACTTTGGCCACCTTACCCTCGTTGAACTTTCGATCTCTGACCCCTGAGACATAAAAGCACTCCTTTTCATCGCCGAGAGGGCCACTACCCATCAACCACTGCGACCCATTTCATTTAGCTTCTACTCCTGTTCTGGAGAGTTTCGGCTCCCCAGAGCCTCACCACCTTTGTTTGTATTATCTCTTTTACATGCTATGTATTAATAAATATGTACATAGGACGCGGCGTCGTACACACCCATACACACTCTTACAAACAGGGCATAAGACTAGTCTAAAAATGTTAACCGTTAGGGTCGCGATAACACTGTAATAGCCGTAGGGTCGCGATAACACTGTAATAGCCATTTCCCCTGCTGGGGATTGTTATTGTTGTTCTTGTTCATATTGTTTTTTGCTCTAATTGTCGTCCTGCATAAAGCAGTTTAACACATTAACTCCTGCGCAGTTTCTCCTGTCAACAATCAGTACGGCGGTCGCCTATCAAATTCACCACGAATTAGCCTCGTATAACTCAGCCGACCTTCACCTCATACTCAGTCAACTCAAGCAAACTTCGTCACAGGTGGGGAGAAAAAAAGGGAGGAAGGGATCTCAGTGGAATCAGAAGGAACAAAAAAGATCACTCCGCGCCATCTTTGCACCACCGTGCCCGCGTACTGTGTGTAATTAGGATCGATTAGGGCTGAACTCAGTCCAAAAAATTTTTAGGACGAATAGCTCCGCAGCGCGCGTACATTTCATGTATCCAAAAAACAGCCGCCCAAAACAATTTTGGGAAAATTTCCAGGCGTAGAAAACTCGCATGAAAAAAAATTACTGGAAAAGCCCCATAAAATTTCATCGAAAAATTAAACTGTGAGAAACATTTCTAAATTCAGTAAAAAAATCGAACCGAAAAGGGTTTTGAAAAACTCAGCGAAAAACTTCTTTAGTCTCGGTGGTCTTGGCACCTTTCCTTTCCTGTCGAAATTGCCGGGTTCTCTGTCGCACGGTCTTTGTTTTCATTTTGAATTGTGCGGGAGGAAGAACGACCACCAGAAAACCACAATTTTTCAGGCAGAAAGTATCTTCCCAATTAGAAAGCATCACAACTTTGATAGAAAACCAAAAAAAAAGCTCTTCTTCCGAAAAAACAATGACTCGCACTTCCAAACAATCTTCTCCCTTCGAAACAAG